ATATATATGTACATATATAAAATGTTACTAAACTTACTCAAGAAATGTGAAAACAATATATATTAAATGCGTTCACACAAAATTCCCTGGTATCGCAAACCAAAGGCTTCATTATGATATTTTTTTTTCCTTTTAGATTTCCGGATTATAGTTATTGTTTACAATGACAGTAGACTGTTCCAGTCTGCTCAGTTCATTAACGATAGTTCAGGTCGCAGACCAAATAGTCAAGTCATTTCTCTATCGGTGCCTGGATTAGATCGTGTTGAATTGGACGAGCCCATCGTTACCACGTTCATTCCCATTGAAGTAACTTTTTTTTTATGTATTGATTTTATAATGCTGAGATTATTAATAATTATAATGACATGACAGTTACCAGTAAATTGCTTTTAATTAAGAATAATAATACTTCAACTAATAAATGAATAAATACAACATACCAATATTCTATTTAAATTGATATTATTATTCCAAAGAATAATCACTATTGTAAATATTAATAGTCATTCAAAGCAACTTATTACACTATATCAATATTGTGGCTAACGTCTGGTAATTTTATTGGTGGGGTTGCCTGCTCCTGCGCTGATTACCAACAGCAACACTTAAAGCATGTGGACCCAGTGACCAGGGAAGAGAACTGCGTTTTATAACCTCAAAGAAGAGACGCATTATAAATGCCTATACTAGTACCCTTACCTATACCAGTATCCACTTAGTCCTAACATTTGCACATCAATTACACGCTATGATTTTCAGATCTCTGAAACAAACAGAAATACAACCTGTGTCTTTTGGGACTTCGTACTGGATGGGGTTGGAGGATGGTCAACTGAAGGCTGCACATTTGTAAATGGATCGGAGGATGGGAGTGATAGGCAGTATTGCGAGTGCACTCATCTAACTAACTTTGCTATACTTATGGTATGTTCACAGGCAAAACATCCGTTTACTTAATTTATGAATCTATTCACTGGCATAATGAATTTGTGCTTTTATCTAATTATAAAAATAATTATTATGTTAATTATTCTTTTAGTTTTATTCCATTGATAATGATAATATTAAAAATAATAATAGTGATAATAGTATCGTAATTATTATATCATTATCTTTATATCAATATCAATAATAATAATTATTATTATTTTTATTATTATTATTATTACTATTATAAGTATTATAAATATTATTTGTTATTATTATTTATTAATGTTATTTGTTGTTATTATTATTATTATTATTATTATTATTATTATTGTTATTATTATTATATTAGTCTTCAGATTGCTGTATGTTATGGGGCAGCTGACTCTCAATGAATTATAGTAAAATTTTGTTTAAGCTGCCCCTGACCATAATTTTTGTAAATGTGTATTGGTCGAATAAATAAATGAAGGAAATGAAATGAAATGTTATTTCTTATACGGTAATTCTACATATGTAATTGTAATGCGTCTCTCCCTTTAACAGGATTTCCATCAGTTGTCATCTCTTCCCCCTGCAGCTGATGTTGTGACTATTGTTGGCTTAAGCATATCGATTGCATCGCTTTTTCTGACATTACTTACTTTTGTGAGTAAAAAGTATGTAAAGATTTCATATGTTATTATTACCTTTATTATATAGGCCTATAGTAAATATATATAATAGTATAGTAAATGATAAATAGTATAGGCTGTAGCTTTGTGTTTAAAGACTATATTTTTCCAGCAGTGTGTTAGCAGAAGGAGATATAATGGTATAAAATTATGAACAAAAATTCAACAAAAGAAATTCAATACACTTAATAAAGAAAGAAAACAACAAAAGTCTTAAATCGTAATTTGTATAAAGATTATGATGACTTCATCATTTTTAAACCATATTCTCAGGAAATTTCGAAAGAGTGAACCAAAGCAAATTCTATGTCAGCTGTGTTTGTCTTTGCTTGGTCTCTATATTGTATTTCTTGCTGGAATTGATCAAACTGAAGACAAGAATTGGTGTACGTTTGCTGCAGCTCTTTTGCATTACTTCTTGCTATCGTCAATCTTCTGGATGAGTGTTCAAGCTGTAAAAATGTACTATTTACTTGTGAAAGTTGTTAATAGTCACGTGTCTCACTTTGTCTTTAAAGCTTGCTTGTTTGCATGGGGTAAGAATTTAATTTTGATATTATTTTACTTTGATATTTATTTTATTTTGCGTCTTACTAATGTTAATGTTTTAGTGTTACAGTGACTTTTTGGTACGTGCGAAGCATTGAGCCCGCGCCTCACTGCTATTCTTGTTGTTGTTCTTGTTACCAAAACCTTAAAAACCTTTAAAGAGCGTCCAGCGTCGCCAGTTTTGAACGAACGTGCATGAAATGTTGTACACATAAACTAGAGGGGATTTCCAACAAATGTTCACTGCCCTTTTTAAAGTTGGACCCCAGGGTTCCCCCCTACACTTACAAAACAAAACAATGGTTTCAAACTTTAAAAGCAGCCAGCGTCACCAGTTTTGAACGGACGTGCATGAAATTTTGTACTCATAACGTAGTGGTGATTTCCAACAAACGTTCATTGCCCTTTTTTAAGTTGGACACCAGGGTTCACCCTACACCTACAAAATGGGGGTTTCAAACTTTAAAAGCGTCCTGCGTCGCCAGTTTTGAACAGACGTGAAGGAAATTTTGTACACATAAACTAGAGTTGAGAAGTTAGACCCCATGATTCTCCTACACCTACAAAACAAAACAGCAAGTTTGAATTGTATATTTATTTTTTTTTTCTTTTGTCAAACAGTTCCCTATCCATGTTCATTAAATAAGGAAATTAACACTAAGGCACGATTCGAACTTGTGACCTTCGATTAAGGATGTGTTCTAAAGAACATAAGGTTGTGAGTTTGAAGAGCGTTTTGGTATTCAATTTTTTTTTTACCAATTTTAAGAAAGCTAATTTTTTTTTTTTCAATTTTATGTATTTTAACTTTGTACAAATGATCATTCTAAATATTTTTTTTTTCTTGTCCAAGTAAACATTCTAATTATTTAAAAATTACTGTACATTATTGCTACCGTGTTAGCACAAATTTTGCACAAATGATCATTCTAAATAATGTGGTTTTTTTGTGTTTTTGTTTTTGTTTTTTTTACAAATAATAATTATTTAAAACTTTCTATCTGATTAGCTCTTCAAAAGAAACCCAATATATTAACTTGTGCCTGTACCGTATAAGAATCGAGGAACGCTCGGACCTTGTGAGCTCTCGCCCTTGGTTACATATGGGAAACCAGATCAACATATATTATTTTGCTTAAAAATCATTAATTTTAACTTTTTCTACAGGTTTCCCAGTGATAATTGTTTTGGTTTCTGTATTTATTGACCATAATAGCTATGTGTATTCTGCTAAATAGTAAGTTAAAGAAAAGTTTAAACAATTCTTTGTCAAACTGAAGTGTTTTGTTTGTACAGTGGACACTGCCAAACCCCAAGTATAAAACAATTTAAGAAAACAAGCCTGGCAATTGCTATATACAGTATAATTTCATTTGTTACCTATGTTTTACCAACTTATAATGTAAGGCAACACATGCACCATTTGGTGATTTGTAACTTATTCCTATATATACTGGTCATTTCCCTACATATTATTTTATACTTACTGTATGTGCAAATTTATTATTATTTTATGTGTGTATTATTTAACATAAGTATTAAAGTATTAACTAAAAACATATTGTAAAACTGTTATGAAACATGACATAATGGCTTCTTTCTAATTTCCTGATGTTATTTATTTACTTGCAGTTGTTTTCTGACACTCCAACACATGTACTACTCTGTAGCAATTCCTGTCGCTCTATCTTTACTTTTCAACATGACCGTATTCCTCCTGGTTTTGCATAGTTTAAGCCAGCTCGGAAAAAACACAAATCAATCAAGAGGAAAAGAAACCAGACGCAGTGGTATGTTGATGTTGAAAAATGGAGTGACCATTACAGCAGTTTTGGGTTTAACATGGCTGATCGGCTTCTTTTCCATCGGAGATGCTTCCGAAGTTATGCTGTGGCTTTTTTGTATTCTTAATTCTTTCCAAGGGTTACTTATCTTCGTATGTATGTGTTGGAAATAAGGATGTACGCATTTACTGGTGGAAGACGTTACTCAAAATATAACAGAAAATACTCTTTAGATTGACTATATTGGCAGAACCAAACAAAGTTTCAGATTTTCAAAAAAAAGAATCCTCGCTCAAAACACACATATCTATACACAGGATTCGAACCCGGGACTTTCTGATGTTCCATCCTGTATTAGTTTTAGGATACTTTCATTTTACGTTATTGTTGCTTTTTCATGATATATTATATTGGTTATTTTTGGATGTCTTGTTTAACGTGTGCCATTGTTAAAATAAAGTGTTATAAAATAAGATGAAAAATAGCGAATAATAGCAAATATAGACATTTTTGAGTGGTATATTCTCAAATAAGCCGATATGCACTAGGCAATACCATTTTAAAGGTGTGGTGTAGATCTATAAAAAGTGTAAATTAATCATAGGCCGTCTTTAGGTCACATTTTTATTGGCAATTGACAATTACATACCGTACGCCCATTTATTTCTATTTTTCTTTCTCATTAATCTGATTATCTTTGGTGTATTTTGCCTTATTTAATATTTCATTTCATTTTATTTTTATTTAAATTTATTCGATTATGCGCCCGTTATTAAATGGTGTGTTCAAAATCCGAACGCTGTAAACGGCGAATTAAGGATTTGCAAGTAACTAAGTTTGGAAGTGACATCAGTGGATGATCAGTGACTTGTGTACAAAATGATATCGTAATGATTTGTTAGTACAGTATAACAGTATGTAATTTCAATCTGGTTGTATATCTTGTCAATATTCAATAAAACTTTAAGCTAGAATGAAACTTTTTATATGCTCTTTAATCATGCTTGTCGTTGTCCCTGATATGGCAGACCGAGGCTGTGAATGGTAAGTAGTCGTAGCTGTTAAATTATAATCAGATTTTATATATATTTCTCACAAAAATTACACAAGTCACTCAAAGTATTCATTAAAAAAATACATGCATGCCTACATACAAATTTCAACATTAAAATAATAGTAACTGTAAACACTCAGCAAACACAAAACGTTTTATGTCACAAAAGATGTTTCTAACATCCTAGTATCACCTGATCTGTCTGCTTTGATAAACTAAATAATCGTGTATAGGCCTAATTTTCGTTAGTTTATAAAGTGCTATCAGTGTTTTTATTTCATAAATCTACCAGACTAATATGCCTACGGCTCTAACTATTTAATAAAATCAAGAGTTGACAAATACTTAAAACTGCATCTAAGGTAATCAGTAAATGTACCTGGCGAGAGATGTTCGGCTTTTTTTTTTTGCTTACGAATTATGCGTCAATGGCTCCGAGAACGTGGTAGGGCACAACAATATCGAACCAGAGTCCCTCAGAAGCTAGATACGCCACTGAATTAATAGGCCTTATATTATTATGCGTGTGTAGCAGAAGTGTTTTCAATTGTGTGCATTCATGGTCTAGTGCAAACTTTTACTTCACAGCCTTTTTACGATTCCAGGCACCAAGCTGCGGCCCAGCAGCCCAGCCGTGACAAAATTTCATTCTATACAAATTAAAGTATTTTATTAAAGAAATAATACAGTATACAGGGGGGTGGGGAGGGCCCGTGCCCCACCCCTCCCCCGTCAGTCAAGTCGAAAAATAAATGAGGGGGAGACAAATTTTAGTGAAAGAGAGGACAGAGGAAAAAAGGAGTGCACATATGAGTTCAGTCGCGATCCAGCAGTGGGTGAAAGAAGAGGTCGATTATTTACCACTTATTTACACCAACCATGGTAAGGCTAAGGTGGGCGTAAACTTCATTTTGTGCTCCCCCGTCAAAAATTCTCTGGATCCGCCCCTGGTACACTTGTGTTTTCAATTGATTTTTTTTTTACCATGATTCAACCGAACATTGCCTAATGGGCGCTCCTGATGCTCATTTTTACTTTTCTTGTTCTCAAATCTTTTTATATTTTTTGTGCATGTTGAGCATCGAATAAATTCAATCAATCAATTCAGCCACACACGTCGTAGCTTTCTCCTTCCAAAAACTTTCACACACACCCAGTCCCTCCGCAACAATGAAAGACGATCTGGTGATTCATCCACTACAGTTGTTTCTTTGTCACACCTTTCATTTGCATTTCTTCTCCACTAATGATAATTTTTTGTAAGCTATAACCCAAAATCATTTTTTTTCGTCGCTAAATGTATTTTTAGTCCACCTCAGTTGCAACATGGTTGGTGTTGAGGTGAGAACATTTTGAGAATAAGGACCTTAAGTTGCCCGGAAAATGCACACTTATCCATTAGAAATCGTACAGGTGATTCAACAGTACAATACAACAATCTCCGATACAATCTAGTGGGTGAGATCGTACCGTCTGTACCCCCCCCCCCCTTTGCATCCGCCCGAGGCATGCAGAACACATGTTTCAGCAGGGAGAACATGTTCTGCAGTGCTGGAGTTGCATCGTTGTGTCTCAGTACCACTTACTGCCTTGGATCTTAATAGGCGGCCCTCGTGCCAAATTTGGCCCGTGATGCAATTTACTTTGGCCCATAAAGAAAAACAAAATAATGAAAAAAAATTTAAACAATACAATTTTCGATAAATACAAGGTCATAAATAGAATAAATAGCGCCAAAAATGATGACTGGGTACTCTTCATGGTTCTATTTTTCACTGTGTGTTTCAAACAAGACATAAGCGCGTTATGATTATTTGGTGGTTACCCCAATCAAATCTAAAATTAAACCCTGTAAACAGAACTATATATAAAAAAAACTCTTAAGATTGGTAATCTAGTTAGCTCTTCTAAGTTCACAGCATCCCAGAGGAAGTCAAATGTTATCATAGAAATAACATATAACAGTTTAAGGATTGCAGAGTTGATTCGTGATTTGAGACTCATTTCATTTCATTTATTCGTCTCAAAGTACAATTCACATAAAAGACGATTCACAAAAAGACGGAGAGACAGGAAATCCAAAAAAAAAAAGCTAAATCGACTGTCAAGTGGATTACCTAACAAAAATACAGAGACAACAGACACTCATGGTAGAAGAACACCATCAAAGAGGTAAACACAACTAAATTTACATTATTTTGCAATACGTCAACGGTATATTATTGTAATCAATATTTATATAGCGCCTTAGAATCAGTGGCGTAACGATGGGGTCGGGGCCCTGTGTATTTCTGAAACGGGGGCGGGCCTTTCGGGCCCCGGTCACCAATTCCATCGTGGGATTTTAGATGTGCATTGTTATTCTAAATGTTTTTCACGACGAATAAATGATATAATATGGATCCAGAAAATTGAGGCCAGGGAGGGATTTGTACAGTTGAGTCTATACCACCTCAGACCCACCATGGTTGGGGCTGAGGTAAGAAATTTTTTGAATATGGCATATTTAGATGGCCGGAAATGGCACTTCACGGACATTGTGAATTGTGAATAGGCCTATATATTTTTTTTTTTATCTCCAGTTAAAAAATATTTTGAAAAATTTAGTGGGGCCCCGGGCCGGCAGCTCCAGGCCGGCAACTCCCCTCACCCTCACTCTTTATTCCGCTACTGGATATAATAAATGTCCTACAGTCGATTTCAGACACTTATGCTGTTGCCCTTGTGGGGCTGAGAAAAGAAAATGATGACACATTTAGATTGCCGTAAATGGCACTCACAGACTTAAAATTGTGTATATAATTTTTTTTTTATCTCCATTGTTATTTTTTTGACAAAATTGGTTGGGTCCCGGGCTGAGAGGGGGCCTTGTCGTGCCGACAATAATGAAAATAATAATAATAATAATAATAATAATAATAATAATAATTAGTTTTTCTATAATAATAATAATGTTTATTATTATTATTATTATTATTATTTTTAAGCGCCTTTTCGGGATAGATTACAAAGTGCTGCATGAAAGGTCACAAATTACAAGAAAAATATACTCAAGTAGGTCCTTGAGTCATTTGTAAGATGTAATTGTTGAATCTGTATGCTTGACTTTGGATGGAAGTGTGTTCCAGACTATTGGTGCTGGCTGTGACAGAAATACTTGATCTCCAGCTTTGATGTACGTGGAGTTAGCAAAAGATTCTGGGAGGATGTGCAAGAGTACGAGTGGGTGTGTATAATTGAAGACGATTTTTGATGTAATGGTGGTGATTTGTGCAGCATTGGTTTAAACTCATGGAGATGATTTCATTGTCAATTCTCTGTGATATTGACTATATCTATTTTAAGCGACAACATTCTCAACACAAATTTTATTTTTTCTAATCTAGAGTAATTAGGCTTGTGTTTTAGTTCCACATTAACAGTGAAATTAAAAAGCGTTAATTATTTGAGTAACATCCATTTTCCCCAAATAAATAAACCGCACCAACGAATAAACGCCCCTATGAAAACCATTTTTCTGCAATTATTCACTATTAAACTGGCATGATTTGTCACTTTCCTCTTACAAACACATGTTCATAATTCGGTGTTTAATGGTATTAAAGTTATCTAAGCAATCATTTATTCCAACAAAACGGTCAGGTTCAAGAAAACATTGGAAACAAAAGCTGCTAGTACTTATCATTTACTTTGACTGATCATTGATACCGGTTGGTTGTTAAATATGAATAATATATTTATTTTCCATGTGGATCAAACGTGTGTCATCTTTTACGTACAGAATTGAAATTATCAAACAGCTTCCAAAGTAGGCATATAGGCTAATTACAGTACTATTTATACAATGAAATTCTCTGCCAGAATAAAGAACAGAATGTAATAATATGTGAATATCATAGGGAGCAGATTATATCATGATGATATAAAGTACTCTCACAAACCGTTGAGCGCACACATACGTGCATTGTATGTAACATTTTGGAACATCCCCTACTCTGGCATTGGTTGCGTCTCGGGGGTGGTAGCTGTTGTATGTCATCTTCAAACTCTAAAACTTTAACGTAGATTTCGAGATGTGGAGCGGCAACTTGGTGTTAAAATGATTATGCTAATATTTAATTGGAAATCATTCAATCTCATACGATACCGGTATGGTACGTGTTGAACAGGTACGTGAGTCCTTCCTGCTTAAATCACTCAAAGTTAAGTGGGCTTACCAACCTTTTGTGTCTCACTGCCAACTCTAGTGGCTGGTAAATTAGAATAAAAATATGATATCTTTTCTAATAAGGCCTATTTATATACGATTTACCTTCCTTTTAGAGTATTTTAGCAATCTTCGTAAGAACAGGGCAACGTGTGCAGACAGTGAATATGGTTCGTACACATGCTTACTGGATGGGTACAAACTGTGAACAACAAGCAGGTAATGTACTAATTTACATACAAGTGTATATTAGCCCTTCAACGCATTTCGGTATACATTTGGGGCCACCAACCTAAACTTAAAAATAGGCAAATTCGTAGTTCAAGTTATGCTAGACACTTTAATGCTTTATCGCTAAACTTAAATATTGCGTTATTATAACTTAAAATTCTTGTCCAGCGTGTTTAAAAGGTTCTCAGCAAATAAAATGTTTAGCCTAGTTTACTTCATTTAAAGATGACATTTTATACCTGGTAAATATGTAACATACCTAATTTACATACAGGTGAATTTTGCTTTTTAATGAGCTCTTTATAAGTCTGACCATAAAAACGCTGTTAATGGTCCATAAATACTTATAAAGTTACTTTCTGCTTTATGCTTCTGAAAATAATTAAAATGTATTGACAAAATTTAAATAAATACTCAAATAAATATTATAACCATATTTTTAAACCTTTCTTAACAGATGGTTATAATTGTGGCTCTCTCATGAAAC